ATTATGCATTTGTGAGTTGAATGTGAATAATTCCTTATTTACTATAACAAACAGGGAAATCGACAATATATATTGAGCTTGTAGGGGGAGGATATCCAATTCTTGAAACAAACTATGACACGATGTTCTCTTTGTTGTATTTGTCATAATCCTAATTATCCTTTTCTGCACCCTAAACACTTTTGTACTATGCGGGGAGTTACCCCAGAATATTAATCCATACGTTATTATAGAATGTACATAGGAAAAATACATCATTTTTAATGTCTCCAGTGGTATAAAGGATTTAACTGATCGGATTGCAAAACATGATCTGTTTAACTTATCAATTACTGCATCAATATGACTTTCCCAAGTTAAAAAATTTTCAATTTTTAATCCCAGAAACGATATATTAGAAATACTTGGAATTTGATTGTTTAAATAACTAACTTGAACATTTAAGTTTTTACTGTTTTTAGTTCTAAACTGTAGAAAATAAGTTTTTTCATAATTTATTGCTAGCTCATTTTTCCTAAACCATTTATCATCTCAATTTATTTATTCTGATTTTGAATTTTGCAGGATTTTTATCAGAGATAAGGATACTTGTATCGTCTGCAAATAATATTGGTTTGGATAGGTCAGATATAGTTTTTGGTAAGTCATTTACATATAGTAAGGAGAGCACTTGGCCTAATACAGAGCCCTGAGGCACTCTGCACTGTATTTCTTTCCATTCAGAAAAACATCTACTCCCATTTTCATACAAAATTACTCTCTGGTATCTTCCTCCTCATATAGGATCTCCTAAGTTTCTGAGCAGCTCCTTTAATTCTATAAAATTCCATTTTTGATAGCAATATATCATGATTTACTCGGTCAAAAGCCTTACTCAGATCACAAAAAATTCCACCCGCTATATATTTGTTGTTTAAAGCCCTATAAATATTCTCCATTAGATTATAAGTAGCTAATGTAGTTGAAGAGTTTTTTCTAAAGCCGAATTGCTCCTGCGTTAGCAGGTTATGAATGAATGAATGAATGAATGAATGAATGAATGAATGAATCAATCAATCAATCAATCAATCAATCAATCAATCAATCAATCAATCAATGGCTAACTGCTTGCTGCAAAGGTGGCCAAACTGAAAAACAGTTTAGGAGGCAGTTGAACATTTTATTGGCCAGGCATAATGTGATTACCAAAGTACACTACACTTGACAGTGCAAGCAGGTCCATAACCATCTTGATGGTGAAGAATGAGAATGAGTTCTTATTATGTTGATCAGTCAGTGTGAAAGATCAGTTTTGCAAAATCAATGCCTTAACAAAGAGTCTTCTGCAATATGATGGCACATAGTCTGATGATGAACTTTTTCCAGAGTATGCAGCATCACATCCCTGAAGACAGAATGCTATTTCTGATCGCTGCAACAAGAACCTGGCATTACACAGGTGCTTGATGTTGGACTGAAAGGAGGTATGGGGAAATAGGAAAGTAGGATAACAGAGGAGATAAGACTGTGTTGCTTGAATTTTGTTTATCAAGAAGGGGGAAATGAGAGGTGATTGTTTCAGTTTTTTGTTTAAAATAATACAAAACTTTGTCAGTGTTTTTCAAGTTATTGTCATCTGATTTACAGTTGTTTGGGAAATGATGGGGCTCTTTTGATGCTCCACTTTGTGAGTGGAATGCCATTTAAGGGATATATGAACCATGACAATTGAGACTTAAAAAGTTCTCAGCTGTTTGTAACATTGAGAATATACCATGAAACTATTCCAAAGAAACTGACATCACTATATTGTAGCAGTCTAATTGTAATTTGTAAATCGTGTGATAAAGATTTCATGCGTGCTTATTGTTTTTTTCCCCTTCCCCCCATATCCTGCACTTCATTTCCCAGCAAATAGCCTTCGATGCAGTGAAGAACAGTGGATGGTGACATGGCCATATCAAGACTTTACAGAGGACTAAGCTGTGGTATACAAAACAGACTCCGTGGCTTGTAGCCCACAAGTGAACTATACCGACCTAGCGACCGCTGCTTGTCGGCAAAGTTACTGCCAACTTTAGGAGAAAGAGGGCGTTGCGTGGTCAGCACAGTTAATTCCAACAAGCTGTGGTATATAGTGGTATACAAGATCGTTAATTAATTGCACAAGCATTTTTTCATGACATGAAATATTTAAAATAATAGAATGTTATTTTGGTGAAATACCATATTTTGACAAAGAGAATTGTCTTCACATTACTAAGGCATGTTAGATTGCAAGTGGTGTTTGTGGGCAAGAATGCAGTGTACATCCAAGTTGCATAACTGCACAGATGCGTTGCCTGACAGCAATCAAACAGCTGCACTGCAACGAGTGATTCTGCCTCCCAATCTATTTTGTTGTTTCGATCACTCCAATCTGATGAAACTCAGTCAGCTGTTATTTTAGAAGTTGTATAAAGGAATGTTGAGTTTGACCCTTTGATTTTCTCCTTCATGTTTGAAAGTGCAAGGCCATATATAACTTTGGCAGTGGTCCATGAGTTAATTTCTGTTCTGTAAACTGTTTAGCAATATATGTATTACAAATTTAAAATTATCATTTTGCAACCAACTTTTTTCATTTTTAATTCCTTTTAGTTGCATGCATATTATTCCAGAATGTTCACTGGGAATATCTCATCAGTTGTAATTCTATATGAAATTATGCTTTAAATAATTGGTTGTGCTGTTTACTAACAGATTTTTTAATTACTCTTTTTACTGTACAATGTGAGAGACATTCTCATAAAAGCCATGGCTCTTTCATGGGACTGTAAATTTGAGAATGCTGGAAATCGCTGATAAAGTGATTAGCATTCCAATTTCTTATTTTGACATTTCTTGAATGATGGAACTAGACATCCTGATTATGGTCTGCTGCTGTCCCCTTAAATTCCTCCACGATATTATCAGTCTAGAACCTTAATGTTGTACATCCCACCCTTTGGGTATCTTAATTCTCTAAGTACAGTCCCTCATCACTTCCTGAGACATTCAAAAGTCACTTCTGTAATGACATCTCACAGATAGCAAACAGATGCCTTACATTTCACAGCCCATGCAAAACTGTCTGGTTAGTTCCTTCAGGCGCAATTTAAATAAACTGCAGGAAAACCTTGAACCTCCACTGTGC